GATGGAATAAAATATGTTGGTCACTTGTATTTTTTGAAATTTCTAAATATCTGTAGTTAAAGTACTGTGCAACATTTTAAGGAATCTAAACGACGCGTAAGAAATCTTCTGACGCGGAAATTTAACTTAATTAAAGTTGGCTTTTTTTTTACCTTTTTACCCGTGTGTAAAAAAGGCTTTCTAGATAGCACGTGTAATAAATATATCGTTCTCAGAAAATAACTATGTTTTGAATTGAAGGAAAAGTTGACTGTTATGATATGATATAGCGAGCATGAATGGGGATTTGTGTAGTAGTGAGTCATGAGCAAAGCAAATAGGTGGGCGTGGGGTGGATGTTGCAAACCCATTAATCATATTATAGATACCTTATTGCTTCAATGGGATGACGGAGTGTACTGAAGATCAGAATGACTCAACAACGGCGCCGAGAAACGCCGTTATCATCATAATGAGTATATTTTTTTGATCTTAAACAATATTTGGCATGAAAACTATACTTTTCGAAATGAATTTGTTATATTGTGATGCCGAAATATTAGTTCTTTTATTTGTTTTAGATATAAACAAATAATAAACGGTAGGTCAGGTTAACTAATACTGACGTCAGAAACTTCAGTCTGTTTTGTAAACATGAATACTGTTAGTATGTGAAACTTTGGAGTTAGGAAATACGTGCGTATAAAGAATAAGTTTATATAAAATAGTAGCATTTTAAACTAGAGTTTGCCAATGTTAGAAAATATTGTAAAGGTACAATATAAAATCATTGTCACTTTAATTTCATAATGATTCAATGCCCTTCTATGCTTTCCACGAATATAAATAGCCGTTTAGGCAGACCCATATAAGCTGAGTAGGTTATAACAGGATATTTGTTATAAATAGATACCTAATCGACCGATTTAGTATCGATCGAAAGCACACTACTAAATTATGTAGTCCACCTTACAATTACCTAGGGGTATTTCTATCAACATCAATGGGTAAAATGAAGGGTCGTATTAGAAATATGAAGGTCAAACTTTTAATAAAGTGGTTAAATTAATAATTGAGATTAGTTGTTATTCAAATGATTATGAAATATAATACTTTCGCTTTCTTTTACTGTTTTGCAGTATGTAGGGTTCATTAATAAACGATAAAAATTTACACTGGCAAATATAGGATGTTTTAGTATAATAACCGAACTTTTTATAATAACCAACAAGCTTAAAGGTCAGCAGGTAACATGCATTTTGTTGTCCAGACCATAATATATATATATATATATATATATATATATGTATATATATAACTTATCATGCCCGAACCATGTCATGGGTATCGAAAATAAATAAAATGAATGTGCCAAATGAGTTTAGTCCATAGTGCAATTTGTAGTAAAAGCCAATAATATTCATCAGCTTTAGTCAGTAAAATGGCACTATTTTCAAAACTTATGTGTTAATATTCATAGGGGTGAAGTGCTCGCGCTGACAGTGCAGTTGGGCGGTGCAGTATTTAAAGTTCGATGCCAAGAGTTGCAGATGCCAAACAACAGGCAATATGGCTCTACAGCTCCGTTATATATTTCCGCCTACGGAGCTGTCGAACTCTTGCACCGGAAGTAATTATAATTCTTGCGTTTGATACAATCATAAATTAAATCTTGTAATAACTTGGCGATATATTCTTCGAGCAAAATAACTTTTCACTGAAGTTATAAACATTGTTCTTTAAAGTATAACTGAAAGTTGAATATTATCCAAGACTTAAAAGAATGCCGGCTGATTGTTATTATGAAGTTTATTTTTGCGTCTATTGTGTTTTCATTGTGGAAACGCTTTCAAAGTGCTTAAGTAATTATAAATACACTGATTACCGGGTGAAAGAATAATGACAATTTATTTTTTTATGGGAAAAAGAGGCAAACGAGCAAGCGGGTCATCTGATGGGAAGATATCACCGCCGCCCGTGGATATTTGAAACATCCATAATAAATGTTGTCCATATTTCATTACATTTGATTAGATCGAGGCAATAAAAACGTTCGAGTTTATGCCCTGAAAATATTTATTTAATATCAATAATTTGTTCCGATTTAGATGATAACTGCCATTACTACATAGGATTCGGATTTTTTTTCTTTTGCAAACGAACCAGGTATTTATGTGAGTTTTATATTCATACGCTAAATATTCCTTATATAGAATAGATGAAAAGTGAACGAATGGAATAGCTGATAATACTTAGGCTAGTCTGATGAATTCAACTATCAAGATTCAAAATAGAATTTTTAAAAGTATAATAGTAGCACAGATTTAAAACCTCAATATCCAAGTTTAGCGTTCTCATGTTACTGCCGCCGATTGAAAGAAAGTCATATAAACAAAAATAAAAATTTTATACTTCCAGTCTGGAAAGGGAAGAAGTAAGGAAAGAATTTATGAGTTAGACTTGACGATTCAAAACTGTTTTGATTATACGTACGTTTTACACATGTTTCGTAATTCACGATGAGAAATAACAACTATAACATTCTGTTTAAAATAACTAAATAATACCTTCTACTGCGTTGCTTAATATATTAACAATGTATTTTTGTGCATAGGGAGAAACATCAAAAAGTATATTGTTTATAAAAATCGTTGTTTCTTACAACTTTAATAACCTTACATTAAATGAAGATATCACAATCATAAATAAAACTTATTAATCCTTACCTAATTATATATCCTTAAACTTATATATTATATAGTTGAATGATAGTAGCTTCTATCATTCTCTTCTTTTTACAGTATCATTCGAAATCAATGGATGAAATGCTTAGCAGACATGTGATTATCCATTAAAAATATTAAGATAGTTTTATTAGATTTTCTCATTGTGGGTTTGATACAAAGAACAAAAGAGGTTTCTTCTAGCATATGTGCTAGCGTTGGTATTTATGTTGTGTGCGATGTACTTAAATTTTATCGAGCTTTATGAATCGGTACATAAACAGGAATGGCGCGCTAAATTCACAACATCCCAATTCTATTCACATTTACTTTTAAATCAATTCAGATTGTTTGTAGAGTAAACTCAAACGACTTTGTAATAACTGTTTTATGATGAAACGTTATTCCGCTACTTTGATAACGACCTTTGATTATAATGTGATTACCGACCGAAAAAATGGTATTGCGTGCTAAGTAGACTATAAATGTTAAAGTAATACTATTATTTTGCTGATTTATTGAACGCGTTTCAATAGAAATAAAAAAAGTGTAGATATATATGTATATACATTTTTCATCGTACGTAAATAACGCTGAATGAAACATAACTGGGAATAGGATTTTATTTGTTAATTTCATAATTTTCATAAAATAAATCAGTTATCTATAGTATTCATTTTCAATTCGTGTTTGACAACGACTTTAGTTCAATAATGTCTTATTTATGTTATTCAATACACTTTATGCGGAAATGGGATTCGATTACGAGGCTGTACATAATTGTGCCCCATTGGGAAACTTTATTGCATATTGGACGTACTGGATCGTTGTAAAAGTTACGTTCATCGCGTTCGTCGTTTTAAATTAATTCAGGATGCTCGTGTGGCGCCTTTGCCAGGCTTCGTGAACATTGCGTCAACGCTTGTTTTCACTTTTTCGTGTCACATTTGCGTAGGGCCGAAGCAGGCTTTAAGTGCAGCGCTGTGGCGAGCATTCGGCCACGGTTCGCGGTCCAACTGGCCAAACGCCAAGTGCCTCCGTGGTTACTCGTTTCCCTCTGAGGAATTGCGCGTTTTAATAGTTTTGTCATCTAGCCGCGTGTTTATATTTATCCCGGAAACTGGATCAATTCGGAAGGATTTTTCGCTTTGTGAACATTTTTTTAGGTAGTTTATCCATCATTATTACCATTCAAAAGATTCATTTAAAATTTCGGAAATTTGCTTGAATTAAAGATTGGATATATATTTTTGTTATGTATTATTTTTTTAATTAATTAACTTCATTTCCTATCAGTATATATATTTTTTACTTAAATGTGGTAAAATTTAATGAAATTAAAATTTACGATTCACATTTTTATAAATTATTTCTGATTGACCTGTTTTGAAGAATTAAAGTCAATTTGAGACCATTTGAAATGTAAGGAGCTCAAGTCTACATTGCTTAGTTTATATTGTGCCTGAAAGAATTCTACTTGAAATACGTGCAACGTAATGCAGTGATTTACAGTTTGAGAGTGAGTATCAAGATTGTTTAGAATGACGGTAGAAGCTAATTGGGTCCAATTTGTTGAGCAATGGTCGCCCGACGACTAGGGTCGTTTAATTAACCGTATATACTACAGATCACGCTAATTTCGGGTTGTTTTGCTAAGCCTTAATTGAGGTCTCACGTCTAATCGCCAATCGCAAGATACGTAGGTAGTGTACGTCGTACTAAAAATAGAAGGCTTGGTTGTGGTGAATGGGGTCATTTCCTTTCGCTGCCGGGCAACTGGTTAAGAAATTATTTTAACTATTCTAAGGTTTCACGAAAGTTTATAAATAGAACGAAAAATTATAAGGAACTTAACATTAGATTCCTAAATATCATGTCACCTGTTACCCGTGTTTTCATCTCAAAAGTTTTGTGTATTTTAGTTTGTAAGTATACCCGTAATGTAATATATTAATAATATGTATGTTTTAATATAAGTATAATGAAACTTTATTTAACTAAATCATAGACAGTACTTTGACTCATTTGATATATAAATAGCCTAAAGCTGTTAGGACATTGAGGCGGCTACTTTACAACGTTGTTTACATGGTCACAAAATTCAGTATTTTCGATGTCCATAAAGTATGAAGGGCATGATAAAAATAACGTTGTAACTTGCTTTTACTTTTACACATTGAAAGATTAAAGAACTGCCTTACCTGGTAATCCTTATCGCCATTTAGAAAAGTGAGGGCGGCAGCGTAAATAATTTTTCTTTATGCTTGTTGAGAATGTAGTTTTTTAAGTGAGCATTTCATGTTTTTTAATGGCCCGTCACAGATAGACACGGTCGTTGAAGTTTTCGACGTGGGTGGCGGGAAAAAGGGGGATATGAGGGGGGCGGAGCACCTGCGCAGGATGCATTCTGGTGCACGGTGCAGCCGCCGCGCCAGCCAGTCTGGCGCCCAAACTCCCCCGCACCATTTCAAACCCGTCCGCCCCCACTTCTGCCCGCTCCCACGCTCGGCGTTTGTTTTCAACTGTGATTGATAATTTGTTATTGGAGTGCGTATCTCGTTTCGAAAACATTACAACATTTGAGTCATCTCCCGTCGCCGCTATTTTCAGCGCTGGCTGTTTTTACTTTATAAAGTTAGCTAAATAATATTGTAAATTGCGCTTTGTATAAATATTGTTACATGTCGTATGCTTATCGTTATTTTTATATATTATGTTCTTCATCGTAATTTTAATGAATTATAAAGTTTATTCAAGACAAAAGTGAAACGAAAACACCAAAATGATATGCTCTTTTTTCCTCATAATTGTTTTTTCTCAAGCAATTTTTTATCTATCCTTAGAAAGTTTTAGTCAATTTTATAAACTGGTCATATCCGAGTCAGTCTTAGTCAGATACTACGTTTGCACATCAGCTTTAAAAAGGATTGTTTTTAATTGGAAAGCCAATTACATTGTTCCTCGTTTAGGACTTACTTTTCTCCTACTTCCTTTAATAAAATTACACGTAATATTTCTTGCCGGAAATAAAATGGGCGTCGAAAGAAACACTTTCACTAAAACCGACCTAATCTAAAACTGTACAGTTCAACTGTTAACTATAAATTGTATTTAACATTTCTTTATCTATATAAGCAACAGGGAAAAGCAGTACACTCCAATGTTTATTGAAAATTAAACCCAATTCTAAAGAAATTAAACAGGTTTTAGTTTCAGCTACGGGTACGGTCGATTTTTGTATATTCCCTACAAAAATCTCAAATTTTTGTCAATGTCTATATGTCTATATGCTTATGACATAACTTATTACCGTAAGAAATATGCCTATTAATAATTCTGGCGCATATCTATAAAAACTGCAAAAAAATCATGTCTGTTTTATGGGAGCCCTACTTAAATATTTTTTAATATGTTTTTTAGTATTTGTTGTTATAGCTTCAACAGAAATACATATTCTGTGAAAATTTGAACTGTTTGACTATCACGGTTCATGAGATACAGCCTGGTGACAGACGGACAGACGGACAGACGGACAGACGGACAGACGGACAGACGGACAGACGGACAGACGGACAGACGGACAGACAGACAGACAGACCGACAGACCGACAGACAGACAGATAGACAGACAACGGAATCTGAGTAATAGGGTCCCATTTCACTCTTTGGACACGGATCCCTAAAAAGTAAGTTTAAATGAATAAAGGATATTTTTAAAGTATGATTTTTTTTTGCGATATTTTGGGGCAGAAATGTTTATAGTACAGTGTTTTTTGTTTCTATTTTTCAGTTCCAACTGAAGCTTATTTGCTCGAGGAGAGAAGCAGAAAGTTAAAATGAAGAAAACGATATTCTAAACAAATCGGAACAAAGGGTGAAAAGATCTAAATAGACAATATTTTTTTATACCTCTGAGCTGTTACCGTTATATAGTTCGTTAAGGCCTACCTTAAATAGGGTTGAAATTGAAGATCGGATTAAGGCAAATAGAGCTACAGTACAGTCCTGGAACGTAAGTGACGTGAATAGAATATTTAAACGACTGGGTACAAGGAAATTGCTAAATAAGTTTAAGCGCTTTCCGTTGCTGCCCTGTAATCAGAGAGTAAAGATTTACTTTTTAACTATACGACCTGTGTTTGAAAGCACGGTTTTTTTGTAACTTCCAAAAATTTGCTCGACTTTGCATAAAATCCTATATATACCCAGCAAGAATTCCTTTTATTTTCGAGATATAAAATGAAACTTTATTGCAAATGCGCAAGGTCCTCAGTTTGACCTCTGAACTTAGGTGGGCGTAGTAGGCGCCGGGCTACATACACTAACAAAATTATCTGTCTATTCGGTTTTTACTAGAAGGATGAACTAAGCAAAGCTTAATCTTATTTTATAAAAGTTGTTTATTACATAATTAATGAAAAAGGGTCATCAAGATGTCCTATGAATATATTTTTTTTGCTTTCTTTTGGTAGGTTACTTTTTTCTGTTCACTGCTTGATACTTATAGATATAAATGTATATTAGTAGTTATTGTGTTATTGTCCTTGAGTTAATGTACCCACTTTGTGTTAATCTTAGTTAGTCTAGTTCGTTATTTATAATTTAAATTTTTGGTATGTACTGAAAATCGGTAAACCCTCTACATACCTATTTGGTTTTATGTTTTTAGTTATATACTTTTAATTGTTAGCATTACTGTGATTGTCGAAACTAAATAAATATTCATTAAGTTATAATAATTCATCTTTTAATAATTGTATAATCTGAATTATTACGTACGTTTATTGGGAAAATAATTCTCACGTTATTGGATTAAAGAACGATAAACTGTGAAAATAAATATGATTTATTACATTAGTGCGGTACAATTAATGTATAAAAATATTAAAAGAATTCTCAATAAAACTTTTACAGCGTACATGGTCACGGGTCTGTCCTATAAAAATCCGTAGTAAACATTGTTTCATTCAGTAATGTGTAATCGCGTAAGTACAAGAAAAAAAAGATTTCTCCTTAACAATAAATAATAATAAACGAAATGTATTTGTTAAAAAATCCAATAATTGGTTAGTCCATAACAAAAAAGGACATGTACTTTTCACCGTTGTTGTAACGGTTCGTTTTAATTAATTAATTTTTAATGCTGTCGTGTTCACGACGGCGAACGTGTTAACGTTGAAAATGTTTTCAATATTCCGGACGTTTCAAAGGCTTATCACTTTTTATTAACTTATTATTTCATTATGTTGGCTATCAAGAAAATGAGAACTTGGCGAGGGTTCACAACATAAGTACATGGAAATGCTTGAACGAAATATACAATTTAATAAAATAAGACAACTTGTCGTATTATTTTTCCTACAAATTTTAATGTTTAATTTTATGTGCAGCGATTAGCAGTATAAAAGTTTAAATTTCTAAAAAGCAATGGCGACTTCTCTCGTTCGAATTATCGTTGTAAAACGATATCCGAAATTGTTTGTATGCTGGCTTTGCTTCAAATTCTAAAACACAATGTGGATAAAAGACGTAGATATTTTCATCGGTGTGGAAATCTGCCGTTAAGCTTAGTGCCTAAAGCGTCAGTACGCGAATTCCGAAGGTTTTATTTTCCCAACGGCGAAAAATTTTTCTTACTATTATTTACAACTTTAAACAAATAAAGTGTTATAATCACGCGTTATAAGTGTTATAATCACAAAGTGTTATAATTTATTGACTTGAAACTTAATAATAACAATTTTGCTTTGAATCTATGGAACATGGCACACATAAGGTCTCATTTAAGCGTTTGGTCCGTGAATCGGATGGATCGGTGATATGTATGTAAGAATATATTTTATGTTGTTACTATTTGTAGACTTCAATATTTTTGCATCTACAATATTCCTTGTGATCTAATGCAGGCCCAGGTTTGACTAGAAGAGAAAGTTCATCGAACTTCAGGGAGGGTTATTGTAATAAAGAATTGATCAATAATCAAATAAAAAAATATATTTTCAGACCACACAAGAATAATTAGGTTAATTGCTATTTTTGTAAAAATTTTCATCGAAGTTGTGCCATTCGTCGTAATAAACAAGAGTCGTTAGGCAAAAGTCTTACTCAAAGGCAAAATACGTGTATTTATGCTGCCGCCATACATATCTACTCTTTGGTGTTAGTTTGCCTCTGCCCGTTATTCAAGAGAAAGAATGTCTCATTATAGGAATCACATTGTAAGTATTGTAAAATAAGCTTTATTTTTTGTACTATGTTGTGGTGTTTTGTATGATGTTATTTCAGTTTGAATAAAACCGTGCTGAGTGTCCTTTAATTTTATTTCCTATGTAGGCTACTTTAACTGTCAGATATAAACGTTTCTTGAAAGAGTATTAAGTATAATTATTCTATAAGTTTTTTCGGATCACAAAAAGTTTTTTTTCAGGTAACTTTAATCAATTGAAAGCTTATGCTCACAACTTATGTTCAAAGGTGTACTATACATAGTGTAATTTGACTACAGATTATTGGAATTGAGAAACATCAATTTTTTTAAACTTATCGCAATATTTATACGACTAAACTGATTCATCTATTACATCAACAAAGAAAATTTTTGAACTGATTGCTGGAAAAAAATGAAGTCAAAGGCCGAAGAAACAAGTTGCAACGTCTTATGTTGTATAAAAATACATAATTCTTTGATGCACTGCCATAATTATACAGTTTACCACCTAATATAACCAACGGTGAATCGACTTATTGGTATTTCTAATTTCTCTAAATGTATTCGTTCCGAATATCAGAATCCAGAACTATAACAAATTTATTCCAGCCTGTGTTGGATTCGTAACATAATATAGAAGGAAGTCCTGTTCAAACATAAACTCTTCTGTAACTAAGAAAATACCCGTTCCCTTTCGTTACGCAGCTTTATCCTTCTGGTACCTATCGTCGAAAATACATATTTGTTTACGAATACCTGGTTCGTTTGTTTCATACGCTTAACACATTTAGTCTCTTCTTCAACTGTGATGTGAACTGAAGCTTATTCTACTGGGACATAAACAATATCTAGCGCGGAACTGTTCGGGTGTGTATATAGAATTTTGTTATTACAATTTAAGTATGAAATCTTTTGTAGACGACACAAAATTGAGAATTTTTGAATTTATTTTGGAAGTGGGTTTATTATTTGAACGGTAAAAATTTACCGCCCTAAGGTTGGAGGTGATGTACTGAACAGTTTTCGTGGCATAGTGCCTCAAAACAATCTAGATAAACTATGAAATAATGATGAAACCTTTAATAACAACGGTAACCGAACATTTGTAACAAAAACAATATAATTATACATATAGGCAGGAATTAATTCAAAATTATGTTAAAGTTAAGGCCCCTTTAAAAATAAAATTTTAAATTTGGAACACTATTTTGTCATGCTTCAATTTTGTTCTTAAATTTTTAGTGGTCGATTCTTTTATACGACAAAGTTTGTCACAATTTCTGAATTTTAAACATTGAGTTTATTACAAGATTTGAAATAG